GACTGGTTTTCCTTTGCTAAAGTAAGGAAACTTTGCTTCTTTTGATCCTGTAAACAAACGTTGGTTTTCACGAGACGCACCGGCGCATGCGCAACGCTGACACCATACGTCATGCTCCCAGAACTGCTTCTGTGTACAACACAAGCTAGATTCAAGTTATTATTACGTTTTGAATATGGATCTTTTTCTTACAAAAATGCATCGAATCGCTACAGAAGGCCTTTGTGGTTTATATCTCACATTTCTGAGAAAAAAGTCAGAATTCTGACTTTATATTTCGCAATTCTGACTTTATAACTCGCAATTGCGAGTTTATATCTCACAATTCTGTGAAAAAAGTCAGAATTGTGAGATAAAAAGTCGCAATTACCTTTTTATTTATTTTTTATTCAGTGACGGAAATGGGCTTCCATAGTCCATAGCTCTGCACCCGTTCTCAGCAGTAAAAGAAAGATGGTGGGGGGATATTGGCGCGATGATTATAGGCTCACTCTCGCTGCATCACTCCTTATCAATACTCAATACACGCCTACCGCGAGATGATCGCGTGCCAGTAGTACTACTGCAGAACAGCAGCAGCGCGGTCGATGCTGCATTGCAGTGGCATTGGCATGATGTGCGTGAAAGTGGACCAGGTTGCATAATCAAAAGCACCTCCGTTCCGCAAACTGCGCTTTGTAAAAACCCGAGGCTTGGATGGGAGCGGGTGGGAGGGGTTTGTGGGGTATAACGGAGTCATTTTGACCCAGCTTGTCGCAGTGAAACGTGAGAGAAGGGAAGGCACTTTCAAAGCAAACACAAGCACTGAACACAGACTACAGTCTTAATGAGGTGATCTGTCACTGACAGCCACATAATGACAGGTAACCTATAGCTAGCAAAGAAAACATTCAAAGTACACATTTAAGTGTTTATTTTATTACACTTTATCTATTTACATCTGTAGATTTGATTACAATTATGTTAAAAAGCCATTTTCTCACTAACATAGACCAAAGACCTATATAGTCTAATTTGCCTCGCTTAGCTGTATAACATTTTACTCATAAAAATTTGGTTAAATTTATTTAATTATTTAGACAGTATTTTATGGAGTAATAAAAATAAATATATCCAAAATCCCCTCTGTAAAATAATTATAATAAATATAAAATAATTATAATATGTCAACAAAATAAGAAAAAGGCTTTATCCAGTGATCAAATTTCAGGCATTTAACTTTAAACCATCACTTCTGCCCAAATATCCATAATAACGTCCATAATAATGCTTCCTCCAGTCCATCCCCTGTTGACCTCTCACATCAAAATCCACCAAAATATTTTGTTTAGAACAGTTTTGGACTGTTTTCACTTGTTAACAGCGCTTGATCTGTGCATATTTCTCTCCTCATTTAGACAAGAGGATTTTTTCACTGCAAAATTAAGGATAGAGGACTCATATTTTAGCAACAGTTTAATGTAGAAACATCTTATGGACGTTTTATGAATTTGTTCATTACAAACACAAAGCTTTACACTTAATAAAACATTAACTGATGGACTGGAGCCATGTGGATTACCTGGATTATTGTGATGTTTTTATCAGCTGTTTGGACTCTCATTCTGATGGCACCCATTCACTGCAGAGGATCCATTGGTGAGCAAGTGATGTAATGCTAAATTTCTTCGAACTGGTTCACATCTTGGATGGCCTGAAGGTAAATTTCAGAGTAAATTTTCAGCTTGCCAGTATTGGAATTATTCAGACTGTAGCCTATTCTAGTTTTACTTGTAAATATTAATTTGTTACTAGTTTCAGAATTATTAGAGTCAGAATGACTATTTTAATAAAAAAAATACAAGTAAGATTAATAAGGGTACTAAAAAACAAGAGGGAAATGACAAATTAGCAAATGAAGTAACAGTATGAAACAAATAAATAGGCTACTGACTAATTGAACAGATATTCAGTTAGTCACTCTTGAAATGCATACAGGTTTATTTTTGACTTCATCACGTTCATTCATTCAGTCTCTGATTCCTCATCCTGTCCCTCCTTTCTTTACTGTTGCGGTCATAACCTGTTAAAATTGTACTGACAAGCGTAAATGGGGAATGCCACGTATAACTCTTCAGGGACGCTCTACCCAGCGGAACGGAGATGGCAGAGATGAATATGACCTGTGCGAGGTGTTTACAAGACATTTCAAACACATTTCTCTCTTTCTCCTATTCTTCACCTTCAGTTCTTCAATAATCATAGTCAGAGTCTCCTCTGCTCTGCTCTGCTCTCTCCTCATTTTGTCCACTCAGCTCTCTGTGCTGAGAGCGAATAAATCAGTGTTTCCCATTTGGCTGCAGCCCAGAAGAGATAAATGCTTGCAGAATAAAAAGTTCAGCAGAAACAGTTGTAACATAAAGCATTATTCCTCTCTC